CAGAACAGTGGGACACTGAATGGTTTAAAATCAGCAAAGGTGTGCACCAGAGATGTATTCTTTCACCGTATTTATTCAATCTGTGGAGTCCTGGTGTGGTGCTGTGGGTTAATGCACTGTACTGCAAAGTCAGTTTGAACCACAAGGTCAGCGGAAACCCTGTGCAGGGTCACTATGGGTGAAGTGACTCTGACACTTAAAATCAACAATTCAATCTGCTGAGTAAACAATCCAAGAAATTGGATTATATGAAGGGGAATGTGGCGTCAGGATTGGAGGAAGACTCATTAACAGCATGAGATCTGCAAGTGATACAACCTTGTTTGCTGAAAGCAAAGAAGACTTAAAATACTGATGAAAATCAAAGACCACAGCCTTTAGTATGGGTTGCACCTCAATGTAAAGAAAATAAAAATCCATCACCACTGGACCAATAATAAATAATAAATGGAGAAAAGATTGGAGTTATGAAAGACTTCATTTTACTTGGATCCGCTATTAATACTCATGAAAGCAGTGTTCAAGAAGTTAAACGACATATTGCATTGTACATATCTGCTGCACAGGACCCCTTTAAAGTGTTAAAAAGCAAAGATAACAGTTGAGGACTGAACTGTGCCTGACCCCATCCATGGTATTTTCAGTAACCTCATATGCATGTGAAAGGCAGTGAGTAAGCAAGACTCCAGAAGAACTGATGCATTTGAATTATGGTGTTGGAGAAGAATATTAAAGATACCTTGAACTGCCAGATGAACAAACAAATCTGTGTTGAAAGAAGTACAATCAGAATGCTCCTTACAAGCCGTGATGGCCAGACTTGGGACTTATTTTCAGGAAGGTCCAGTCCCTGGGAACATCATGCTTGGTAAAGTGGAGGGTCATCAAACAAGAGGAAGACCCTCAATGAGATTGATTGGCACAGTGGCCGTGGCAGTGGGCTCAAGCGTAGCAGCAATTTATAAGGATAATGCAAAACTGGGTGGTGTTTAGTCGCTGTGGGTTGAAACTGACTCAACAGCACCTTAAACAACAGAGTAGTACATATACACACACCTAATTTTTTTTTTTTTTTTTAATAAGGAATCCCTCCATCTACGTGTGGAGAGGGTCCAGATGGGGAATGAGACTAATCATGAAATTTAAGCCAAATACTAAGTGTGCTGTTCCAGCATTATTAGGGACTGAGAGTATGGTCTTTTTTTCTTTTAAACCCTGTATTTAAATCCTGGTGTGGCACTATAGGATAAGCATCAGACTGCTGACCACAAGGACAAGGTCAATGATATCAAACCCACCAGCCACTCGTTGGGAATTACAGAGTCACCATGAGTCGGAACTAATTGGACGGCACTAACAACAATACCTTCTAAGTGGTCTTGAGGGCTTGACCAGGCCAGTGGCAGAGGAGATTAAGAAACTGGTGAATTTGAAAGGAGGTAAAAAGTGACAAAGGCTTGTTGATGAATAAAAGAAGAGTAGAAATACAATGGTGGGAAAGATTGCTTTTTCTTGTAAAAATAGGAAAGAAACTTGAAAGTGGAAGAGGTATATTCATTCCAACACATTGATTGTGCACTGTATTGTAGGTGTTGGAGATAGATGAAAAACAGGCCCTGAATTCCAAGTACTTTCTCTGGAAAGATAAAAGAATGGCTATATAATGTGACAGATTTACTATGGAATCATGTAGCTATTTCTAGCTGTACCTTGTAAGGCAGGGCTTCCCACTGGGGTTCATTCTGGGTCATTCAAGGTCAGTGTGAGCCACAGAGTCAGTGGTTCAAACTCAGCCAGCTGCTCCTCGGAAACCCTGTGCAGGGTTGCTATGAATTGGAACTGACTTGAGGGCACTTAACTACCTCAGGTATGCTGAATCAGAATTTACGTTTTAACAGGATCCTCCATGGGTAACTTTTATTATACATCTATAAAATGGAGTGAAAATGCAAATCCTCAACAGGGTCAGTTCAAAACCCTGGTCTAAGGGATGGGATCAATAGACGATATGTAAGGCAAGAAGACAGACCTGTGTAATGAAGGCTGAACTAAAGTGCATAGCATTTTTGTGTGCTTTGCATGCATGCATGCTTGTTTGTGTGTGTGTGGTGGTGGTGGTGGTGGTGGTTGGAGAGAACGAAAGTTGACCTAGTATATTAATACTTGTTGTGTTCTTATTGAGTCAGTTATTACTCAGCAACCCTGTACAGGATTTCCAAGGCTGTAAATCTCAATGGGAGCAGAAAGCCTCATCTTTTCTACCAAGGAATAGCTGGTGGAGTTGAACTGCCAAACTTGTGGTTAACAGCACAAGGCATAACTCACTATGCTATCTACAAAACAGGAGTGATTCAGGGATCTTAAATAGGGAAGGGCATGGCCAGTTTTGCCAAGCAAGCTCATTCAGATGTTACTGTGAACTTGCTGGTAATAAAATCTGGAAGCTGATAGGTCACATTTGGAGGCAGTTGCACTAGCCAAGTTGAGAACTGAAGTTAAGCAGTGGGAATAAAAAAGAGGAGCTGTTAAGAAATAGGAATGCCATGCAACAGTGGGGGGCAGGGGCAGGGGAGGGTTCTGTGCAGAAGGAGACATGGAGTACTGAAAAATGTAGTGGGATCAGCCATCCACTCATTATATATAGCTAAACTTTACAGAGAAAAGAATAGGATATAAAGCTGGAAAAATAGATTGGGGATAGATTGTGAAAAACTTCATGTGCCATGCCAAGGAATTTCGTACTTGATCTTGTTGACAATGAAACGTTATTTTCTAAATAATTGCTTGGTGTGGTTGGAGTTACAGAGAGGTGATAACTAACAGTGGTGGCAGTAACCTTTTGCAAATGCTAATACATTTCATCCTCATACTACCCCTATGGATTCATTATCTAGTGCTACTGTAACAGAAATACCACAAATGCATGGATTTAATAAACAGAAATTGCTTCTTTCAGTTTTGGAGACTAGAAGTACAAGGTCAGAGTGCTGGCTCTAGGGGAAGGTTTTCTCTTTCAGCTCTGGGGAAAGCACTTGTGTCTTTCAGAAGCTATAGGCCCAACATTCCCTGGAGAGCTCCCTGTATTTTGACTTCAATCTTTTTCTGGCTGTAGGAGCTTCACAGTGCAGATACCCCAGGTACAAAGGAAACACTCCAATTCTGGCTCTTTCTTGATAGATAATAAGGCCAATAAAGAACATCATGGTAAATGGAGAAAAGACTGAAGTTGGCAAAGATTTTCTTTCCTTGAATCCACAATCAGCACTCAATGGAAGCAGCAGTCAAGAAATCAAATGATGTATTACATTGGATAAATCTGAACAAGACCTCTTTAAAGTGCTCAAGGTTCCTTAAAGATACCAGTTTGATGACTGAGGTATGACTGACCCAAGCCATAGTAATTTCAGTCACCTCATATGTATGTGAAACTTGAACAGTGAATAAGGAAGACCATAGAAGAATTGATGCATTTGAATTATGTTGTTGCAGAAGAATAATAAAAGTACCCTGGACTTCCAGAAGAACAAGCAGGTTGTGTTGGAAGACAGACAGCCATAATGCTCCTTAGAAGCCAGGATAGGAAGACTTTTCTCCTACTTCAGACATGTTATCAGAAGGGACCAAAAGCTGGAGAAAGACATCATACTTGGTAAAATTGAGGATCGGCAAGAAAGAGGAAGACCCCAATACGATGGATTGACAAGGGGACAGCGTCAGATAGGCTGTAAAATGACAATTATGAGAATAGAGTAGGGCCCGGGCAGTGTTTTGTTCTGTTGTGCATAATAGTTGCTGTGAGTCAGAACTGACTAGATGACACCTACAACAACAACTGCCCAACCACTGAGAATCCAGATCCAGCCAAGTTGATACAAAACCTAAACTGTCATACCCTATAAGGTTGTTCTCTCAGTGGGGAAACTGAGACATGGGAATGAGAACTTGGTCATGGCTCCATGCTTACTAGACAATAGAAACAGGTTTTAAACATAGGCAGTCTGTCTTCAGGACTCTAATACTGTAATTGCTTCTCAATCAGGGATGCACATCAGAGTCAAATGTAGCAGTTCTAAAGATAATTGTCAAATTGACTGAATCCAGATGTTCAAAAGAAAGATGGGTGATACTGTGTTTTACAAAACCCCATCGACCATTCTGTTAATCTTGGTTAAGTACTGTCAGCATCCCAGTTTAGAAGCTACGGCATGAGGCCAGGAGGGAGATAGATAATAGGGATCAAACTAAGCAGTGTGAGAAGGAAGACTAGGAAACAAGAGCTAGAGACTTAAGAGGTAAATTGTCTTTAGCTGTAAGCAATGGGGAAGAAATGGAGTTGAATCCAAGGATTACAAAAGGTATTTAAGTGATAGTCTCAGCTAAGACAGTAATCCAGCAGGAGGGGTAGGTTTAGGAGAAAGATTCAGTGAGTTTAGATTTGAACATTTGGGTTTGAGGGACCATGAATAACCCTGTTAAAAATGTCTTAAAAGGATGCTTTCTTTACTGGGTGTCTGCATGCCATCCACCCTGCTCTCTTTGTCATTGTCTCAAAATCCATCCCTCCAATCTCAGAGTTCCACAGAATAATACTGTGATTCAGTTCAAAATGCTCCATGCCCTATGGGTCCTCCCCAGATTATGTATACTAATTTATATGTAAATGTGCACTTATATGCATATTTTACATATGTAAAAAATCAATTTTTTGGCAGTTCATTATGAATGTTCCTTCTAACAATTTTCCTTACAGTGCATAAGTTTCATGAAGTAAAAATGCAGTATTTTTCTATAGGTGTATACCTCACTCTGGAAAGGGTGCAGGGGACCATACCTTCAGGAAAGAATTACCTTATCCCTACCAGATATGTTTACCCCAAATGAATGGGGAAAGGGGATTTAATAGTGAAAGTGTGTATAAACAATATAATTGAACAAAGAACTATCTCTGTGTAGAATTGCTTGCTTACCCTGTTTGTCTTTATGTCTCTATCCAGGTCCTTTGAGAGAATCTCCTCGAGATGCCCAGCCTATGACCAGGGGTGCTGACAGAGCTCTTTATGGTGTGAAATCAGTCAAGAGCCAGAAAATGGCTACAGCATTAGAACCGGAGGACCAAGACCTTTGGGAAGAAGAGGGAATTCTGATGGTGAAATTGGAAGATGATTTCACCTGTAGGCCAGAGTCTGTCTTACAGAGGGAAGACCCTGTACCTGAGACCTCGCACCAGAACTTCCGACGATTTCGCTACCAGGAAGCAGCAAGCCCTCGTGAAGCTCTCATTCGACTGAGGGAACTCTGCCATCAGTGGCTGAGACCAGAGAGGCGGACAAAGGAACAGATCCTTGAGCTGCTTGTGTTAGAACAGTTCCTCACTGTCCTGCCTAGAGAACTACAAAGCTGGGTGCGGGGGCAGCGACCAGAAAGTGGAGAGGAGGCAGTGACACTGGTGGAGGGTTTGCAGAAACAGCCCAGGAGACCAAGGCGGTGGGTGAGGAGGGGGAGTCCTGATCTGTGTGATGTGGCGGGGGCCTATTTGCTGGAAGGCAGGATTGGGGTATAAGGGTTAAAGGTCCCTTTAAAGTTACACTACATTTCATTAGCTCTGCCTTTGAGTTGTACTTAGATTTGTGCACCTCATGGGGCAGGGATGTGTGCATGTATGTGTGTGTGTGAGACTTTCTGGTTTTTGAAACACCTACCTACAGCTCATCTGAAGGGCCTCAGCCACCTAAGAACCATGGCTTTCATTTTCCCTTCTTTGGACATTGAACCCCAGAAAGCTAGTGAAGATAATACTGTGGCTTCATCAGGGATTTTCATAGACCCTAAGGCACAAATTCTTCTAGGATGGTAAGCTGGGAACAAACAATAAGAGCTATAGGCACATATGGGAGGGATGGATGACTCAGAACCCTGGATTACTGAGGGTAAGGATGGAGGGAAATGAGAAAGTAATGCCCTATCTATCTTCACGTCGTCTTCCTTCAACTCTTTTGCATGTCACTGTGGAACTAGAGTTCTCCCTCCTCATCTGGGTGCCTCTAAAAGGTTTTATATAGGCAGCTTCTCCTGAAATAATTCCTGATGATAGCCAAGACCATCCCTTAGATTCCATGGTGACTGGATGTTGGAATTATTCCCAGGTGACCGTCCATGTTCATGACCAGGAAGTCCTGTCAGAGGAGTCAGTGCATCAAGGAGCAGAGCTTGAGTCACCAAGTGAGCTGCAAAACCCTGTACAGACCTCGGCCCCTAACGAATCCCATGAGGAGACCACACAGAGTTCAGATCTGGGGGCACCTGAAGAGCAGAGCCCAGGTCCTGAAGAGGAGTTCCAAACCCTGCAGGAGAGCGGTGGGAAACCTCAGCCAAAAGAGGACTTCCGTGGGGGAGGGCAGATAGTTCTGTGCCAGAGGTGGCTGGGTAGGTTGTAATAAGGATAAACCACAGAATCCAAGATGTTGAAAGGAGACACAATACCAGCTAAAGTCTCTCTTAAACAAAGCTAAACTTAAGCAGTGATATTCTTGGTTATTTGCTTGGCATTCTGATAAACGTTAGAGATGATGGGATTTGGGGCCAGTTGAACCTACCCTTAAGGCCAGTTTTTTGAGTCCTGGAAGAAGTTAGTGCAGCCTCCCAACCAAAAGTGACAGGGAATATTCAGTTACTGGGGTACACTGCATATTGCTGATGTCCATATTTTCTTGTTAGAGTCTCCAGGGCTCCAGGACCCAGACCTTCCTGAAGAGAGGACCACAGGGGACCCAGAGATGGTGGCCCTTCTCACTGCTCTATCACAGGTGTGGTCTAGTTTCCTTCTGTCCCACAAAGAACGTATTTGAAAGCCTGAAGCGTTACCAATATGCTAAACATGTTAGACAGGATGCAAATTTGCACATTCTTGGCAGTTTAGGTTCTCAGGTCTTCAGGTGTCTGGAAGAAGGAGGAAATACATCCAGTGAGATCAATTGTAATAGTTTCATTGGCTGTGGAGCCTTCTGACCTCTTTATTTGCCACTGACCAGAAAAACAAACAAAATGAAAATATTTTGTGCCACTCCAATATAACTTTGAAGTTACTAAATGAGGTCTTTTTTTTTTTTTTTTTTTTCCCTTAAAGAATAAATATGATTGTCATTTGTAAGAATGACTGGATTATACTACAGAAGGAATTTCTGAAATTGTGTGGTTATTTACTCTCCCTCCAGTGATCTACATTCAGTCAGCCCCTGACACTAAGCTATGTGGCTGGAGGAAATGGAATAAAAAAAGTCATCCCTGTTCCCAGATTATCCTCTAGCTGAAGCAAAAGCATTGCTGTTTATGTCATGTAGACTGTCAGTGGTAAGAGTGATTGGATAAAACCAATCAGGGAAAGCTTCCTAGGAAAGATGTGAATTGTTGAAAAAATGTAGCTGACATGAAAGCATCAAATAAGGTGGTGAATGATGACTTTTAAGATTCTTCTTATAGTTTAATACCCTAAAGAAGAACCTAGACTGGTTCCAATGGAAAGCAGTGGGGTTACAGGAAGTCTGAGGAGGGCCAGTACAGAAAAAGGAAGTTAGAAAACTGCAGCAGAGGATAAAACAGATTTCCTGAGAGAGAACCACGTAGCCTACTTGACTTCAGTTTCGTAGGTGCAGTTTGCCTCTACCTGTATTTCAGGAACAAAATACGAGTTTACAGAAAGCATCAGGTTTTGAGTGAAGCCTTGTGTTGTTTCAGGGACTCGTAACTTTCCAGGATGTGGCTGTGTGCTTCTCTCATGACCAGTGGAGTAATCTGGATCCAACACAGAAAGAGTTCTATGGCGAATACGTCTTTGAAGAAGACTGTGGAATTGTGGTTTCTCTGTGTAAGGAACTTCAGATGTCTTAGTGTCTTCAGCACGGGTCTTTTCCCCAGTGGAGATTTTTTAGGGTCTTAGACCTTAGAATGTATACTGTGAACTTCTCTGTGCCTACCCTCGTGATATTGAGGGATAAGCTGCAGAAGGTGGAGCTATCCTTCCAAGTTAAAAGGGAGAGAAAATGCTTAGAAACTTGTAATAAAATATAGTATTACAGTTTTAAGGAACTCTGGTAGCATAATGGTTATGAGTCAGGCTGCTAACCTCAAGGTCAACCGTTCAAAACTACCAGGGAGGAAGATGAGATTTTTTTTCTGCCCCCATAAAGATTTACAGCCTCAGAAACCCTATGCAGGGTCGCTATGGTCAAAACTGACTCCACAGCACACAACCACTACCACCATCCTTCAAGCTTTAGTTTAAAAGGTTTGAGATTAAACATAACAAGTTTTTAAATGAATAGGGCTAGGAGTTAGAGGAAATATACTTACTTGAATGTGGGGAAAGACGGTAACACTTAGCAGTGGGATAATGAATTGAGTTGCAAGTGAAAAATACTTAAATAGCAAGAGATGGACACTTCGTGGTTAGAGATTTCTCAACCTAAAGGTACAAAAGATTTGACTGCCTAATTTGGATTTGTATTTGCTCTAACAAAACAAAAATGAGTCTGCTCCAAACACAGGGATCTGTTGAACCAGTCTTGATGTCCTGTTTTCCCTCTCTTGATCAGCATTTCCAATCCCCAGACTAGATGAGATCTCCCAGGTTAGAGAGGAAGAGTCTTGGGTCCCAGATATCCAAGAGCCTCAAGAGCGTCAAGAGACAGAAATCCTGAGTTTTACCTACACAGGTGAGGAGTGGCAAAGGGGATTTCCTCCACCCTGAGCTGGCAGTTGTTCTAGTCAGTGCTCTCCCATAGGGACCCCTCTCATTGGTTCATCTGGCATGTTTAGCTGTTATTCTGTCACCCCTCAAAATACAAATTCTTCTCGTCACCCCTCCATTTGTTTGAGGCACTTGTACTATGAAATGGTGGATGGGGGAAAAAACCAACAACTTAGAATTGCAGCTCTACCATTTTACTAAGCAGTTCACTTAATCCCATAATCTTTGGTCACTTCATTTGTATGTGGTATGCAGCTGGTAGTATCCATCTGTACTAAGGCTTGTGACAGCATAAGATAACATAAGAAAATACCTGGCACCTAACAGGCATTCTAATTTTTCTGATTATTTCCTTCTTTCCCGACCTCTGCAATTATGAAATCTAGTTCTTCACTCTGTTGTTCTGCTCCCCCGTACCCTTTTAAAACATTCCTCCATTGTGTGGAAGGCATTACTGCCTCGATAATTTCCCCTTCTCCCCTCTCTTCAGGAGATCAGAGTGATGATGAAGAAGAGTATCTTGACAAAGAAGATCTGAGTTTGGAGCATCTCCAAAGGTCTATTTTAGAAGATCCAGAAATTCACCAGACTCCTGATTGGGAAATAGTCTTTGAGGATAATCCAGGTGGACTAAATGAGAGGAGATGTAGTACAAATATTTCTCAAGTTAATAGTTTCATGAGTCTCCAGGAAAACATGCCTTTCCACCCCCTGTTAGGGAGACATCATGACTGTTCTGCATGTGGAAAAAGCTTCACTTGTAATTCCCACCTTGTTAGACATCTGAGAACTCACACAGGAGAGAAACCCTATAAATGTATGGAGTGTGGGAAAAGTTACACACGGAGCTCTCATCTTGCCAGGCACCAAAAGATTCATAAGATGGGCACTTACAAGTTTCCCTTAAGCCGGAAGAATATGGTTGAGACCTCCCCTCTGATCCAGGCTGAGAGAACTGCAGCTATGGAGAAACCCTATAGATGTGATGATTGTGGGAAACATTTTCGCTGGACTTCAGACCTTGTCAGGCATCAGAGGACACATACAGGAGAAAAACCCTTCTTCTGTACTATTTGTGGCAAAAGCTTCAGCCAGAAATCTGTGCTAACAACACACCAAAGGATCCACCTGGGAGGCAAACCCTACTTGTGTGGAGAGTGTGGAGAGGACTTCCATGACCACCGACGGTATCTGGCACATCGGAAAGTGCATGCAGCTAAGGAGCTCTATCTCTGTAGTGAGTGTGGGCGATGCTTCAACCACAGTGCAGCCTTTGCCAAGCACTTGCGAGGACACGCATCAGTGAGGCCTTCCCGGTGCAGTGAATGTGGGAAAACCTTCAGTCGGAGGGACCACCTTGTCAGGCACCAGCGAACACACACTGGTGAGAAACCGTTCACATGCCCAACCTGTGGAAAAAGCTTCAGTAGAGGATATCACTTAATCAGGCATCAAAGGACTCACTCAGAAAAGAGCCCCTAGCTAGACCCTTGTATAAGGATATCAACAGTCACCCTTTACCTATGGGTGGGCTTGAAGAAGCCTTTTTGTCAGCCTGGGAGACCTTTTCTAGGGAATCTCTTCCCACAACTAAATGAAAACCCAGGCAGAACCTCTCAAATTCAACACCTTGAGAATATATTTGACCTAAAACATAATCTGAGCTGAGGCTTCTCCTTGCGTGGAGTGCTGCCTCTACCTCAAGGGTACACAGTAGGAGAATGGGAAGGCTTAAGAGGTTGTAGTTAACTGTTTTCTAAAAAAAACAAAAAAAAACAAAAGCTGTTACATACCCTAAAGACTACTTGACAACCTGGAGTTTAAAGTGGCCATGGACACCATTTAGGTTTGGTAAAGGGCCAGTCTTGAGGTTTCTGCCCTTACTGGACTCCATGTTAAAGCACACCACCCTGAACTCAAGGTAGGAGATCAGGGTCCTGAGGACTTTGCTGCACATTCACATGATTAACTCTGCAAATCCCTCCCTGTCTGATTCACTTGCTCACCATGCACTTTCTTTTGATGCTAGGGGATTATGGGAGAGGGTTTGATGGGTGAAGTTTCAAGGCTGCTGCTTGTGGATCCCTTCAGGCTCTTCCCTCCCCCACTATCCAAATGGTACCTAGCCAATCGCTGCTGAAAGGAAGACCTAATCGGCTCTCTGTATCCTTGTGGGTTTGTTTTTCTTCCTCTGTCAGGCTACTGTAATGCTTTTAACCTCCCCTCTGTTCTACTAGTGTCTTGGTTTTGTCCCTGGTAAGTCTCCAATGAGACAGATGTAGCATTCAGGCTTTGAAGGCATCAGTAAAGCATAATTAAATCTTCATGAAATGATTTACATTCCCACATATACACAAACCCACTCACCCTATTCCACCCTTCACATGGGTTTTGTGAAGAAATTGGTGGGTAATGTCAGGTTATAAAGGCACTAGAATCTTAGATTGACTGGGTCACCTCATTTATATGAAGAAAACTGGAGGAAGTAAGAGAACAATCTATGAAAAATTAAGAAAAAGTTGTGGCTGGTCAGGGCCATCAAGACTATTCTGACACCCAAACCCTGCCTCAGTTCTCTGATATCAGGGAACAGTATGAACCTCGGCACCTGGGACCTGCATAGTATTCCAGGAGTAAATGGCTTACATGTATTTGTGTTTGCTTTTTCTTAAAAGTGATTTCATTTTCATATAATTAAGAACTAATTATTAATATCTCATGATGGCCCAAGGATCTCTGTTGTCTCATAAAGGTTACCATGAAGGAGAGACTGAATAATTAGGAATTGTTCTGATGGTGGGAGCGGGAAGGACTGGGGAGATGGTTCTCCAGAAATGGAGCACAGGATGTGGAATTAAAGCATGAGAAGGGAGACTGTGTTTTCTGTGCCTGGTTTGTTTTCGACTATGTAACGCATTCTGTGCCCAGGTACACTAGAGAAAGATAGATGATTTAACAAGACCCCATCCTTAACAGCTCATCAAGAAAATTCTCATTTTGGTCAGTAATGACATTCCATTTGCTTGGCTTGGTTTTCGTACCAGTCAGCCATAGTCCTGGTTATAAATACATCTGAGATAAAAGTGACTCCACGGCCATGTAGCCCTGGTTTCTGGGAATACATTTTACCAATTCACTTTCCAAAGCCCTGGGTTCCTTATACTTCGGAGGTATCTCTACTCACAGAGTATTCTGTCATGAGAATAGAGAAAGTTATGATTGCTAGCAAAGCACAGGTGGGATATATGCAACCTAAGGTAAGATAGAAACCTGGAGTTTGCAGAAGAGACTATCCTAATATGCAGATAATTCTCAGTTGTAGATTTATCCTGGGTGAAGTGTCACAATCTCAAAAGATAGGACCAGGCAGCTTCAAAAAGTTCATGTGAAAATTCCTTTATCTCTTCATTCCATTTCCCCATGAACTTAGTGAATACTCCTCTAATTTTCTAGTTCATGCTTAGACCATTTATGGAAGTTGGTAAGATGCTAGAAGTAAGTGGAGCAAGTGGACTTTTTATTCTCTGATTTGAAATAAGTAAATATACCTTGTTGTTATGTGCCATCGAGCCGGTTCCAACCCATAGCGACCCTGTACAGGGTTTCCGAGGGTGTAAATCTTTACGGGAGTGGAAAGCCTCATCTTTCTCCCGCGGAGCAGCTGGTAGTTTCGAACCGCTGACCTTAAGGTTCGCAGCCTGATTCATAACCACTACGCTACCAGAGCTCCTTAAGGGGGAAAAAATAACCCTTACTTATGCAGAGTTTCATATGCTGATGCCAGTTTGTCATTAGGTGATATCCTGTCAGTTCTGACTTGGTGAACATATTCACAACAGAACAAAACACTCCCCAGTCCTGCACCATCCTCACAATTGATGTTACACTTGAGCCTATTGCTGATACAACTGTGCCAGTCCATTTCACTGGGTTCTTACTCTTTTTCGCTGACCCACCACTTTACTAAGCATGATGTTCTCCAGGAACTGGTCCCACCTGATACTATGTCCCAAGTTTGAGCAACAAAGTCTTGCTTCTGAGGAGCATTGTGGCTGTACTTTTTCCAACACAGGTTTTTTTGCTATTCTGGCAGTCCATGGTACTTTTCAATAATCACCAGTATCATAATGCAAATGCTTCACTACTACAGTCTTCCTTATTCATTGTCCAACTTTCACATGCATATGAGGCCATTGAAAATACCATGGCTTGGGTCAGGCGCAGTTTAGTCTTCAAACTGGCATCTTTGCTCTTGAACACTGTAAAGAGGTCTTGTGCAGCAGATTTGCCTAGTGCAATGTGCCATTTGGTTTCTTGAATGCTATTTCAGTGAATGTTGATTGTGACTCCAAGCAAAATGAAGTCTTTGATGACATAAATCTTTTGTCCATGTATCATGATGTTACTTAATGATTCAGTAGTGAGGATTTTTGTTTACCTTGAGGTGGAATCTATACTGAAGACTGGTCATTGATCTTCATCAGTAAGTATTTGAACTCCTCCAGTTTCAGCAAACAAAGCTGTGCATCTGCATATTGCAAGTAACTATTGAGTCTTCTTCCAATTCTGCTGCCACGCTCTTAGAATCACTTTCTCGGATTAATTTACTCAGCACACAGATTAAATATGTGGTGAAAGAACAACCTAGCACACACCTTACCTAATTTTAAACCATTCAGTGTTCCCTTGATCTGTTCAAACAACTCTTGATCTAGGTATAACTTCTTCATTAGCACAATTAACTGTTCATTTTCTACAGTGTTACTCATAGCTTGTCATGATTCACACAGTCAAAAGCCTTTACTTAGTCAATAAAGCACAGGAAAACATCTTTCTGGTATTCTCTGCTTTCAGCCAAAATCTATCTGACATCAGTTCCCCATCCTCTTCTGTATCCCACGTGAGTTTCTGGCAATTCCCTGTTGATAAGCTGTTGTAGCTATTTTTAAATTATTTTCAGCAAAATTTTACTTACATATGATATTAATGATATTGCTTAATGATTTCTTCATTTCATTGTGTCACCTCTCTTTGGAATGGGCACAAATATGGATCTCTTCCAATCTGTTAACCAAGTGACTGTCTTTCAAATTTGTTAGCAAAGATAAGTAAATCCCTTCAGTACTGCATCAGTTCATTGAATTCCATCAATTCCTGGATGCTTGTTTTTCATCAATATCTTCAGTGCAGCTTGAACTTACTCCTTCTGTTTCATCAGTTAATGATCATATGCTTATGATCAAATGGTTGAACAGCAATCATTTCTTTTTGATATTTTTGATACACTAACTGTATACCTTTCCATCTTCTTTTGGTGCTTTCTGGGTCACTGAATATTTTACACATGAATCCTTCAGTATTTCAAATCTAGGCTTGAATTTTTCTTTCAGCTTGAGAAATGCTGGGTGTGTTCTTGGTTTTCTAAATTCTTGTCTTAGCACATTTCATTAAAACACTTGGCTTTGTCTTGAGCTTCCCTTTAAATTTCTCTATTCAGCTCTTACTCATTTCTTCCATTTGCTTTAGCATCTATCTCTACACTCGAGAGCAAGTTTCAGAATCTCTTCTGACATCCATTTTGTGTTTCCTTCCCTTCCTGTCTTTTTAATGTCCTTTTGGTTTCATCATGTATGATGTTTTTGATGTAAGCTCCAACTCTTCTGGTCTTTGGTCATTAGTGTCTAATGCAGTCAGTCTGTTCTTGAGATGGCTTATAAATTCAGGTGTGGTATGTTCAATGTACATATTTTGGCTCTCATGAACTTGTTTTCATTTTCTTCAACTTAAGCCTAAACTTGCATATGAGCAATTGGTCAGTCCCACAGTTGTCCCCTTGCCTTGTTTTGGCTGATGATATGGAACTTTGCCATGTCTTTTCCCACAGATGTAGTCACTTTTATTCCTGTTACTCCATGTGGTGAGATCCATGTGAATACTCACCTTTTATGGTTTCTAAAGAAGGTATTTGCAATGAATAAGTCATTGGTCTTAACAATATTCTATCATGTAATCTCCAGCATGATTCTTTTAAAAAAAAAAAAAATTACTGTGAATTCAGTGAACGGTTACAGGGCACACTATCAGTTTCACATTCAACACATAATTTCAGTGATTACAATCCCCTCCTGCACCATCAGCCAACAGTATTTACCTTTATTTCCATTTAATTTTGGGTGGTTTTTCTTTCTTTTTTTTTTTATGTACACATAACCCATTGAAAATATGTATTCGTTTTAACGTCGAAGGGCACATTTTGCAACCAGCCTCCTGCCCACAGGCACACTGCCTTTCTCAGTCCCTGGGCCTGTAGTCCTCTGCTGCTCTATGTCATCACCTCTGCCAACATCTCTGTTGTTGCTGCTTTTCTGGTTAGGATCCCTTGCTCATTTCATGATCTTGATAGTCCTAGGGTCCTCGGTTCCTGAAATGACAGATTAGCTGCTCCCCACTTTTAGTTACACCTTTTCTACATTTAAAGTTTTGACAATAACCATTAGTTCTGATAACAATTACTCATAATTGAATCATAAAATTCTATCCCCATCCTCATCAGACCCATCTAGACAAGAGGAAAACTATTC